TGGCATACCTTTATTCAATACCAAAACATTGTTTGCAGGCAGCAACATAAACTCACAATAAAGTTAATTATATCGATCCCAATTTGCAGGTACTGGACTGGGCATCAGTAAGGTCTTTAAATCAAAACAGTTTATGATCATAAACATTTCATTTAACAATCAAATGATTTAATTACACTTAAATTTAATCTCTTTTTGGATTTTGATATGTTTCCTCCTTACATAATTTTTATTTTTGGTTGCTGGATGTTAAAAACAGCTAAGGTGATGCATTCCATCAGTAGGTCTGCAAAACCTTTCTTTGTGTGTGTTTACCTGTGTTGGGAGGCATAGATAAAGGAGTGCAGGCATCTGCTTCCTGTCCCACTGATGAGGAGGACAATAAAGTCTTGGCAAGGAAGGCGGAGATGGGCTGAACCAGCAGAGATGTAAGACTCCCTCCAGACCCAGCTGGGACAGAAAGAAAACAAACAAGCAGAAATTTTATTATAATGATTTCATTTTGAATACATTTACCACATGCAAATTTACACGTTAAAAGTATTTAGAGAAGTTTAATATATTTCAATGTTTCCTTTCAATGCTCATAATGGAGGCCCTTTGATTGAACTGATGGATCCATGATATCCAAGGAAAGCCAGTATTAGTGGAGCGATTTGACAGAATAGTTAATAAAACTCCCGACCATTGAAGGCATCACTATAGACTGTTCGGTAAATATTGTTATTGCACAGCTGCCATTGAATACTATTCATTTCGGTTTATAAATGTATTAGGTTTTGTTGAATTCAGAAAATGTAGGTTTGCAAATAAATAGAAATTGAGTCTACACAGGAAAGAGATACAAGCAGCTTCTGCAGGAGCGGAAGGAAAAGCCCAACCCAACTTCAAGCTTTCCTTCTCCGAATCCCCTCCTGCAGCCGTCTTTTATTAACAGAACATGACACATGGTTACAAACAGAGTATTGTTCTGACAGGACAATTAATCAGTTCATGAAGACAGAATGCTCCATCAGAATGACAGGGCAGGATGGTCTCCTGACTGCATCATGAGACAGGAGTGGAGCATCCCCTCGCAAAAATGTTTCATAGGCACACATTAATTTTATAATCATCATTGAATAAACCTAACAGGTTTGTGACAGTGTTTATTTGATGCCCTAAATATTTATTTTTCTAATGAAAATTTAAAGAAAGAATCAGACTCTGTTCATAGTTGTGACTTTAATGGAAAAGTTTAGTACACTAAGGTAACCTGATGTAAATAAATAAAAGTAAACAAAAAACAAATATTTCACTGCTCATTAATTGAAACTTGATGTTGAATTATTACAGTGAAGATAATAATATTGATAAAAAATATTTGTTATGGTTTTGAATTGGACTCAGACTTATGAAAAAATATAAAACCAACATTAATGTTATTGGTACCAGTCCGGCTTTATATGGCAGAACTGCAGGAAAAAGCACAGAGAAAAGACGGTCATGCAATAGATGATCCCCGGTAAGAATAAAAAATAAAAAATAACAGCTGCATCGAGGATTAGCGTCTGTACTGTACCTGATTTATCCACTGCAGCAGAAGCAGAAGCTCAGCATAAACTGACCTTAAGTGCTTTTAACTGATTATAAAGTACAAACAGTAGAACAAGTTCATTTGGGCAGGTAAATATTTGGCCAACCTGCTCGCTGAATAAACTACAACTGGACGCTTATGACACACATCACTCTGAGCCTGTCAACTGTACTTTCTAAAGAGTTTTCTAAGACTGATGGTTGGAAGTCCTGACATTCCTTCCGTTTTCCATGAAGGAAAGTATTTCCAAACACGGACTGTAATTAGGAAAAAAAGACAGTAAAAGATATCCAAACAATCAAAACTAAATATGGAATAAGAGCACAACCTGTAGCCTATGTCCATGAAACGATACAGAAATACAATCAGGACAGAACTAAATCTGAGAAGAACACGACAGACAGAGAGATGGGAGGGATTAACTAAATAAAAGCAGCTGAAAGGAAAAAGCAGCAGAGGAAAGCTTACTGTTACTAAAGGAAGACAAAAGGAAAAGAGGAAATGAAAGTATAACTAAATATGATGTTATTGACACGTAGTGCTAAATTATTGGAGCAATTTTCATCAGGTTACATTTTGAAGTAAAATACAATCTATTCTAATATTATCTGGTTTTATTTTATTCTTAAAAGTCTTGTTTCCATGAAGTATAACTAGAAAAGCATCAATAAAAAACAGAAATAAAGGATTGAAAACATTCGTCTGTGAAATAAATCTAAATGGTGCTTTATTTAATGAATGAGTGACTGAAATTAACCACATTTTTTATTTTATTTTAAATAATTATTACATGTTATATTATCATACATCATATTATAATATTATTAAATCGGTTAGCTGTTAGCCTAGCCTCAGGGCTCAGCATTTAGAGAGAATAGCAGTAGCTGTGTCTGACTTCCATGGATGAACTCGGTCGGCTGTGACATCATTCAAATATCTGAGTCCTCTAAGCTAAATTAAATGCAGCGGTGATACTTTTATAAAACCTGAAAGCTGCAGGTGCTCTGAAAGGTTGCTTTATAGTCTTCGCCAATCTTTGCTGACTGTATAGCATCAGGAACAATGGGGTTGATGTCAGTTTTAGTTCTGAACAGGCAGTGCAATGAACGTCGATGGAAACTAAGAGATTTATAGCAAATAGAGCAGTTTTCTCCTACTTGAAATGTGTTTCACAATTACAGCACAACTGCTGAGCAAATAGCAGCTCCATGATGCTGCAGCTCTCGCCTGCTTACAAAAGCCTTTAAAGTTTTAGTGCAAATTCTCTTCATTTGTGTTTTTACACGGTGAAAACATCAATGGAGGGAACAGAATGAAGACTGCATTTACAGGAATGATGGATAGAACATTCAAACTACGCTTCTATTGACCATTGAATTTGATGCTTGATGTTGCTTCATCTATTTACTGTTCATATCTGTTCACACAAAAAGGTGAATTTGAAAAAAAGATGAAAAGCTGATGTCATTATATAAAATACAACAAAAAGCGTATTTCTGAATGAGGTTAGGCTGAACTGGTGTTAGTAAAGAATAGGATCTGGTAAATTGTAAACCAGAAATCTTTCACTTACTGGTACCTTATCTTAAGACGATCGCTCTAAAGTCTGATATTTTTAGATTATTAAAACATGGATTGATTAGCAGCTTAATTGGGAAGTGCAATAAATAGCAAGTTAACGCAGTAAGCGAGCAAATCAAACCATAACCAAAGGAAATAGAGACATTTTGACGCCTTGAGCCAAAATCAAATTCAAGCCAAACATCAAGTTTGGCTAAACTTGTCACGGCTTTTGGTGACAGAAAGGAGAGGATATAAAAATAGATGCTCAATGAGAATTTTCACAAGTTTGTCTCACTTGGATTAACAGAAAATCTTTTTTAACTTGACAGACTGGTATGAGATTGTTAAATTGCATAAAAAAATGCACATAAGATGTGAGGAATATATTAAAGCAACAGAACTTCACTCCAGGTACTAATCATGTCACCTAAGAATTGGAAACAGAAGCTCTGATTTACATAGATTCACCAAAACTAGACAGTACAGGTTAGGAAAATGACAGAACAATGCTTCAATGGTGTGAATAAAGTAAAAGCAAAGCTTCCTCCTACTTTACTTTATGTAAATGGATCAAGATGATGGTGCAAAATGGTCCTTCAGTAAAAACCTAATAATGTCTGAAACAACTGATTGTCTTCATATTTTACCAGGTCCTTTATGATAACAGTGCTGCTACAGCGTCGCTTGATGGAAACCTTCAGGGAAATGCAAAATTACTTAAATCTCTCATAATCTCATAACATCTCTTTATATGGTAGCAAAGAATTTACAGTAGTAGCCATTCAAAATGTCTTTACTTTCCTTGGCTGGTCTCCTTTAATTCCCATTTAAACATCAATCTTCGTACTAAAATATTCTGTCATGATTTTTGATCATTACGATCCAAAGAGGAGCGCCATCTGCTGGTCAGATCCTGTAATTCAGTGAAAGGGTGGAGTCAGAGTAAATAAATATGCAGGAGGAGGCGGCCAGTGGCTGGAAGTTGGAGGGAAGTGTGCTGCCATCTGGCTGGGTAGGTATATTTTGAATGGCTGCTTCTTTATATGGAAATTCTTGCTTTGGAGATGCTACAGTCATGTCGGTCACTCCTCCCTCTAGCGAATCATTGACCAACAGTCTTATCATGCAGCCTCTCGACTGCAAAGCTTGGAACTGCATCAAAGCAGGTTGTAAAGTAAGCCTTGGTTTCCTAGTCACTGTTACTAATGGAATAACCTGAAAGGGACACGAGCAAACTGTAAAGCCCAGAGTTGGTACCAATGGCAGAGGGCCATTAATAAACAACCAGAACAACTTTGTGATTATTGCATCCAATGCATATACTGATTTTCACTGCACATGACAGTGCAGTCTTTAAGATTGCATCAAAGGCTGAGTTTGGCTTATATTGCATCTGACGCTGCTGTTCTTTAGGCCACATCTAAACTGCATCAAACAGTTTATTTTGCACCCATTGCTGCATTCAGTTTACATTGCATTTCACGCAGCATTCAGTGCTTTACGTTGCTGCATTCAATGGTTTATGAGGCATGAAATTCTGCATCCAGCAGTTCATATTGCATCTGATGCTGCATTCAGAGCATCCGACACTAAAGACACACACTTCCTATTTTACATGTTGATTTATGACAAGATTTCCACTTCCTGGCAGCGGAAACCGGTTCTATCTGAATTTTTTGGAGGTCAGTAACTACTGATTGGTGACCTCTGTGCGTAAAGCAAGTCATCAAATTCTTACTTCACTTTAAGTTTATATGGCTCTAAACTTCCAGAGTTAAAGTCATTCATATTCACCCTGATATAATACTCCTGAAAGCTAAAGATTAGATCTCTTGTACCAAGCAAATCGTAATGATTAATTTTAAATTTTAATACATGTTTAAATAAATGTTTTTGTCAAGTATAACAAATGCTTGTTTCCTCTTAAGATCATTGATAGCATAATTTTTAGATAATAGAAAAATCATGCTGCTTATAACATGACAGTCATAATGGGGGGTTTTTGATCAGACTGCATCTCTGGGGTGAGCTGATAAATAAAACATTTAAATAAAAGCTGTGAGACCTACAGCAAAGACAAAGAACTGGGAAAAATACATGACAGAAACAGACATAGTAAACTGACATGGTAAAATGAAATGAAAAAATCTAGACAAGGAAAAAAAAATGTCCATAAACCTAAATAGTAATGAAACAGGTGAGTGGCATGAGCGTGATTGGCAGGCTAAAAGCTGAACAGAAATAACGAGAAACTAACTTACCTGGCAGACGTGCAAACAGAAAGAATAAATGCACAAAAACAAAGAAGCTA